TTTTTTTTTTTTTTTTAATAGGTGGAAAAGATACTCAAGACAAGCTGGAAAAAAGCCAAATAAAAGTATCAAAAGCAGATAAGCTAGAGACTAAGGAAACTGTTGAAAGCAGAAAAGACAACAACACTGAGGGAAATAGCAAAGACAGCAAGGCAGAGTAAATTTTAAAATTATTTAAAATTTTGGTAGTGTTGAAGTGATGTTGTAGCCTTGATGGTCCAGGAAATGTGAGAGTTAAGGATTTTTATGGATGATATTTTTTTATTGGAACTACTGAAGGGTTGAGATTTAGATAAGCTTTTAAATGTAATGCATTCATTTTCAGGTCTGAGGAAGTAACAGGGTTTGCAATGCTTTTCTTGGCAAAATGAAATGTTCTGAATCTAAATCAGATCTCCCATAGAGCTACCTATGCTGATCGTACCTGTAACAGGCAATTGACATATCTTGCTTGTGATTAGTTTAAAGTAATTTAATTAGGGCTACTTGTCTCAGCTTAGGCTTTTCATATGTTTCTATCCATGTTCCAGAAGTTTCATACTACTTCCCTGATGACTTAATTTTGGGATATGTTAGCTCTAAGTAACTTGGCTATTAGAGGTGCACTGATACATAGGTCCCGTATCAGATCGGCACTGATATGAGGAAAATTGAGAGTATCAGCAACCAGCTTTATTCATCTGATGTGGCCGATTTAAATGTCTTGTGCATGTGTGGAGCTGGCCAGGAGCGCAGAATGGAGAGGAGCAGGGTCTAGCTGGTAAGTCTGTAGGGGAAGGGGAGAAGGAAGAGGCATGCTGGGCAGGGCAGATTGAGTCCCCCCCCATGGTGAAGGTGGGAGTGGGGCTGGGGCAGGAGCAGGCGCTGCATAGGAGGGGTGGGACACAGGGTGGAGCTGTGGCTCATCCTGGGGACATGAGGGTGGGGGGCAGCTCCAACTGCTGTATGCACCCTGGGAGGACTGGGGGGACATGTGCCCTCGGATCTGCATGCAAGACAAAGTGGGCTGGTGCTGTGGGCTGAAGCTGAGGTGGTACTGGGCTTTTCCTGGAGGGGGACTGGCCCGGCCTGTGCTCGAGCCAGCAATAACGGTGCTGGGAGAGGGGGTTGGGGGGGGGCTATAGCCACCCCAAAATTTGCTGTAGCCCTCCCC